GTTTTGACTTGTATTGTTTGCTTTTATAACTCAACGTGATGTGTGCCTGAGGTTTAACTTGTGATAAGGAATTGTACAATGTGCACGCAGAGGAATTACAGCTATGATGGTGAACTTTGTTTAGTGTTTTATCCAACATGGTTTTACAGGCAGACAGATGCTTTCCTATGCTATTCTGAATAACAACAGCTGTAAATCAGTAGCCACAGAACTGTTTTTATACTGTAGTGTTATAATATCACATCAACTCCAAGGACTGACTGAAAGATCACTCTTGAAACCTTTACAGATTATTCATTTTATGATATACCATGACACTGAAGTTTATTTACTTCAGAATGAAAAAGAAAAAAGGCAATGCCCTGTTTCCTTTTAGTGCAGCCACTGTGAAGATGCTTTTATGCATGTCAGCAGTAAGACAAAGGCTGTTTCTAATATACATTCTGTTACATTCTCATATTCAAACATGCCATCTGTTGTTCAAACATGGGTGAAGTTGCAAGGCTTTTACCAAACTCATAGGACTTATCAATGCCCAATGTTTACCTGTGTTGTATTATCAGCCATTCATATTGAACTATAATCAGCCTACCAGAGAAGACAACATTTATGAAGCCCTGATCTCCTCTGCCCTTTTGTTTGGCTGGCCTTAAGAAAATCCCAACTTTAAACTTGGGTGTCCTTATACCATTTATTTATTCTTATGTTATTATTTCTTACGATGTATAATTACATGTGAAATGAATAATAGCTTTCTCACCCATCTGATGAAGGCAGTATATTTATACTTTTTGACTGGGATAAGATGGTTTGCCTGCTGTTCTTTAAACTGTTTATTAGCTCTATACAGGATGACTCCTTAAGTATCCCTGAAACAAAGCATTAAGTTGAATTGTCTGGAGTTGATATTAACCCATTAGATAAGGACAGATGTTGTTTGCCACATCTCAACAGTCGGTGAAATCTAAACCAGTCTTAGCATACACTTGACCCACCTTTAATAATCATTACTTTCACTTGTTAAAAAAGTTAACTAACAGTGTACTATTGGATTCACCTGCTGTAGTAAAGTGTGGTCTATGTAACAGCAGTGACCACAAGGTGGTGCTAAACTCTCATCTTTGTGTTCTCTCTCTCTCTCTCTCTCTCTCTCTCTCTCTCTCTCTCTCTCTCTCTCTCTCTCTCTCTCTCTCTCTCTCTCTCTCTCCCCCCTGCCTGACAGGCTAACCAAGATAAAGCTCCCATCCTGCTGTGGCTGCAAGGCGGCCCGGGAGGCACCTCCATGTTCGGTCTGTTTGTGGAACATGGACCGTATGTGGTGTTTAAGAACTTGACTGGTAAGAAATGATCAGGTGCTAAAGAAGAAAACATAAACAATCACATTAAACCTCTGTGTGCAGTTCATGTTAGAGCTTTTCTCATGTGCTCGTGATTTTTTTTTTTTTTGTCTTTGCAGTCGGTATGAGGGAATATGCTTGGACAACGAGATACTCAGTTCTGTATATCGACAATCCAGTACGTATTATTTTCATTCACCTCAGACAAAAAGCCACGTTTGATTCAAGGTTTCTCCTCTCATGTGCATGAGTACGGACTAACAGCCTTTGAGTAAGATCATTTTGTTTTTGTTTTCCAGGTTGGTACAGGGTTCAGCTTCACTGATGATGACAGAGGTTTTGCTCAGAATCAGGATGACGTTGGCAGAGATCTGTACAGGTATAATCCAAACATCTGACCAAAACATTGCATACTCATAACTTGAGGCTTTGAATCAGGTGCCGTAATTGTTGAAAACTGTTCTGTCTTTCTTTTCAAAAGTGCTTTAACACAGTTCTTCCAGCTTTTTCCTGAGTATCAGTCCAATGAGTTCTACGCAACTGGCGAGGTATTTTTTTATTTTTTATTTATTTCAAGCTTTGAACATGACCTTTAAAACCTATATTAAATAGAGTGTCTACACATGTAACACTACTCTGTCCTCGTGCAGTCGTATGCAGGGAAGTATGTTCCTGCCATTTCTTACTACATCCACAAACAAAACCCAACTGCCAAAGTGAAAATCAACCTCAAGGGGATGGCTATTGGTGACGGACTCTGTGATCCGGAACTGGTGCGTGTCTGACTGCGTGTTTTCAACGACATCATCTTGACGTATTAATAAACTATTTCTCTTCACTGTACTTGTTTTGTACTAACTCTGAATTGAGTAAAATAGTTAGTTTTTCACGTATTTCAACATTCAAATACATTGAGCTCCTTTTTCTTCTGCTTGATCCTTTCAGAAATGTATTAGTTTTTAGTCTATTTTAAAGTGCTGCCATTGTAGAAAACAGATGAATATAATGTTTTTACTGTTTCTGTTTCAGATGCTGGGTGGTTACGGGGAGTTCCTGTACCAAACAGGCATGATAGATGAACTCCAGAGACAGTATGTCAACCAGCAGACTGACCTGGGAGTGAAACTGATCCAGCAACAGAAATGGGTCGAGGCTTTTGAGGTAAAGAAAATTGCAGACATCATTTGTTTTATTTCCAACTGTTTAATGAACAACTCTTTCTTTAACAACAACTCATAAGAACTTCATGGTGAACAGTTTTAGCTGGTTGCTGATGTCTTATTGTCTGATTTCAGGTTTTTGATAGCTTGCTGAATGGTGATGTGGTGCCGTATCCCTCCTTCTTCCAAAATGCAACAGGATGCACCAACTACTACAACTACCTGTCATGTCAGGTAATTATTAACACTTGTGGAGCTCAACGCTGCCTGCCTGACTTCCAATCTTAACTTGAAACACAAACTAATAGTTTCTTTTTATGCCCACATCAAAGCCTTTGCACATGGTTTGCTCTGTTTCTGCATCACAGGAGCCGGAAGACCAAGAGTACTTCTCCAAGTTTGTGACTCTGCCAGCAGTGCGACGTGCCATCCATGTGGGGAATCTGACGTTCCACGACGGCTCAGAGGTGGAAAAGCACCTCGTGCAGGACGTCATGAAGAGCATCAAACCGTGGCTGGGGGTGCTGATGGACAACTACAGGGTGAGGGCTGAAGGATTATCTGCTGTAGCGGCACAATGTATTGTGGTACCAGTTAATATCACCCATTCTTAATGGAAATAAAAGGCATTTTTCTCTTGCTTGCATTTAAATAAATAATGCGTGCTGGTTGTTTACCACATCCAGGTGTTAATCTACAGCGGCCAGCTGGATGTAATCGTAGCAGCACCACTGACTGAGAGGTTTCTGCCTACTGTCAAATGGGCCGGAGCTGCAGAGTTCAAAACAGCGCCTCGCTTCCACTGGAAGGTTCAGCCCAGCGACACAGAGGTAGCCGGTTATGTACGACAAGTCAAAGAGTTTTACCAGGTGAGCAGATATCTCCAACATGCACAGTGAAGTGATGTAAAAGGAACTCTTAGAACACCAGCTTTGAATTGTTTCCTTTTGTCACTTCAGGTCATCATTAGAGGAGGGGGACACATTCTGCCGTACGACCAGCCGGCGAGGTCCTTTGACATGATTGACAGATTCCTCTCAACGCGGGGCTGGTATTGAAATGTTTGGATGCTCATGAGCGCATCTCAGAGGATATTGTTGATCACTAACTGTTGATTTTAAAAAGACTGTTGATTGTCTCAGGTCACGTAAATCAGCACTATGTTAGATCCGAACACATCTTTGAAGCTGATTTTTCTTTGTGTATGGCAGAATTGACACTTGGTTTAAGGCTGCTCTGACACACTGCACATCAAAAAAAAAAGGGACCCATGAACAGGGACCCATGAATCTCTTCCAACATTTGTTTGTCTAAGTGCAGGCAAGCTTCAGGCGAGTTTCATTTAAATTACATGATGTTTATGTTTGTTTTTTAATGAATGAGGGAAACATAGTGCATGTCGTGTTAATCCACTAAACGCTTGAATGTGTACAGAAAGAACCTCTGCTGCAGGGCTGTAAAGATTTTAAGTGAAGTTTTTTAAATGTAAAAGTCAACCCCCTCCCCACCGGATCGTTGGTTGACGGCCTGCCAGAACAACTGAAGATTTCTGCCTTTTAATAAGGCAGTTTTTTCTTACCACTGTAACTTTTGATGCTTCGCTAAAGTGCTCATGATGGATAGGCCGGGTCTTTGTAACATAACAATGAATAAGGTCCTTTACCTGCTCTTTTGTAACATAACAATGAGTGTGGTCTTTTTACCTGCTCTTTTGTAATGTTAAAAGACAAAGAGTAAGGTATTTTACCTGCTTTTTGTAAAGTGTCTTGAGATAACACTTGTTATGAGTTGACGCTATACAAATAAAAATTGAATTGAATTGAAAAATGTAAGTGTCTTTATAGAAATGAAATCGTAGAGCCTGATTAGCCTTTAGAATAGGATATGGCAGCACCTATTGATGAATGGGATTTCTCCTCCTTAACACTGTTAGGTTAGTTCAGAAAATGTCCACCAGGGGTCCCTGTGCTACAAGGACACTTTTGCAAGTTCCCCCTGAAAATGCAAACAAAAAACTATCGCTCCAACAAAACTGCTGTGAAAGTTCTTCACATTGGATATTTGAACATCTTAACTTATCTCTTTAAGAATAATATTTTATTACCTAATATGTCTGAAAAATGGGAAGAAAGACGCATTTTCGAACAATACACACTTTCTCTTACTTCTGTTGTGGCTTTGAATGTAAATGTCATGCAGTTCAGTATTGATAATTGGAAGCATCTTACTGAGTTGTTTGTGTACTGAGGTTAACTGCCATGTTATCTCATCAGGCAGCTATCAAGATGTCTAGACAGTTAAATAATTAATGAGTATTTTAAACCTTTAAAGCATCTTACAATTTAATGAGCGGTCATGTCTCAAGGACATTGATTGGAAAAAAAACTGTTGATCTGGCTTTTCTTCAAATATTCATTTCATGTCTCTCAGCTCATGTGTGCACTCTGACTGTCCTTATAAGTTTCACTAGATTTCATTTAGCTGTGACACCCACGCACATCAGTTACAGAACAAGTGCTTTATTTTCATACCGTAATGTAACTGCAGTGATACTTTAACATCTGTACAAATTCAGAACTAAACAAAATGGAGATAATGCCGTTACAGACACACACAAAAATGTACAAAGTTATGCAGGCAAAAATGGTTTTCCATCGTTTGTTACATAAACAATGTGTTTTAAGCGCTGAAATGAGCCTTGACGTACAACAAAAGGCAACAAGTGCTATGCAGACATTATTTACAAACATGTACCACACATTGACTCCCTTCAAAAAGAAAGGTGGTTGCATTACATGTACACGGTTACACAAATGAATGACATTATGTACACTATTTATAGTTTTTTTTTAGATTTAAAATAATAGTTATAACATCATTAATGTGTAGGAGCTTCTCTCCACCTCTCACAAATCTACACAGACACACTCGCACTGCACTTCCACCCGTCCCTGTTTTCAAATATCTGCAATACAAAAAAAAAGTCTTTTTCTGAAGCTATATTCAACTTAAGTAATGAATATGTTACTCTTAAAGAAATCAGCATCCTCCAAATGATTCCAGTTGACATTTTCACATGCATTAGGTTAATTTGGAATGGTTTTACAATCTTAACATGTTTTGAAAAATGAGCCGACTTGAGGCTAGCTTTAGGTTAAAGGGTTGGAACAACAAAGCCCTTTTTGAGATAATTCAATTTCTCAGTCTCAACCACACACGTTATAAACTGCACACGCGGACTCTTGAGGTTAAGAAATGACAAACAGTGCGAAAAAAGGTGAATGCAACCCATTAGGAAGAGATGAGATTTTAAAATCACATGTGAGCGTCCTTCAGCTTAAAAAACATCTCCAGAATAATATGGGGGCACAAAGTCAATGGTTCAGGATCCTTATCGTACAAAACAAGCACAAGGGTCTCTTCTATCTATAGAAATGGGATGCATGCCAGGCACAGACTTATTTTATAAAGCCAAACACAGTTTAAGTTTTTCGCTGGTGTTTGAAAAAGGGAAGATCACTGAGAATTACTTGGACTTCAATATGGCTATTCTTCCCTCTGGTAGGCAGAGGACAAAGTGCATAGACAGCTCTGCGATTGCTCCACCGTCAGTGGAATGTATCTTATTCATCCTACTGTAAAACACAGTGCATTGTGGTCATCATGCTAATGAGTCATGAATCAACATTCCTGGTCAATGGGGGGAAAAAAGAGAGAAAGAGGAATTTTGGTTCAGGTGAGGAGGTAAGAGGCTTTTGATGGATGCAAAGAAGATTACAAAAAAATAAAATGGAGCCATGACTTCTATCAGAGCATCCACTGCCATTATGAACTGCAAGAGGGCAAGAGAGGGATTGATGGAGAGGTCAGGGGCCAAATGGAAAATTTGTATTTTTCTCCTTGTCAGCTTGTTTGGCCCCTACATTCAGCAGACAAGGCAAATAACAAGAGAAAAGTCATCAGTAATACTCTGAGAATGTGACTGTTGATTGGTTAAAGAAAAAAAAAAGTGGCCAACAAAAGATATTAAGAAAGATTCAGGCACATTGTTACGCTTTGGAAAAGCACACATAGAAACTGCTCTTCTTTGGAAAACTTTGAACACTTTGCCAGTTGTGGGATATCAGTTAAAAAAAAAAAAAAAAGACATGCGCACCATCACTCTCTCAATCATTTTCTTTGTTTTTCTGTCTCTAAACAACTGCTAAACTAGTTCTGCAGAGTGAAGAAGACAAAACAAAATCAAACACACAATATGCATAGTTCCCATACACACTCAAAACTATTCTGACATACATAACTGAAGGTTATATTCATTTGGGATTTAAATCCAAGACGTGGATGCAGATGCACAAATACATAAAAAGGAGGCCTCAATAATTAAAACTTTAGTTGGTCCTGGAGAGCGGAGGTGTTTGCTTCAAACCCTCAAGCTGCCTCACTGGTGTCACAGTGTACGCTTAGCTGTAACAGCATCTCATGTCCTCTGGACCAGAGTGGCTTGGCCATGCTGATCACAATAGGGACATACAGTAGAGAAGATGTTCAATACTGTGCTGTATTGAAGATAATCTATTATGTGATGTATTGCTTCCATGTGATCATGTTTTCACTGTCTTGCTGTATTTAACACTCTTTAGTAATACTGCTGACAGGGAAAAACGTTTAACAGTCATTTCTAGGGAAGTAGAGGATCTTTACATCTGCTTGCATATTCCTGTCTTCAAGACATATTCCTGTCTTCAAGATATGGCGACACTTCCACCTGGTTTTAGACAACAAATTAAAGGCAGTAAATTCAACGCACTTATTCAAAGTCTGTTGTACACACTCACACACTTTCCACATGTGATACTCAGGGAATGATTTGATTCAGTCCATCAGGCATAAAGAGATGTAAGGGTTTGCTTAAAGAGATGACAGTCCAAGAGTTATGACTCTTTCTTCTGGTTTCATTTTGTACCTTTAAACAACAGAAAAAGTCACTTACACGCTGCATGACATCAGCAAAACTCCTCTTGTCTCGAGGAGCACAAATAAAGACAAACAAAAAAAGGCAACAAACCATAGAACACTTATGCGTTAATAGGGTTGGTCTATAAAAATACATTATGTAGCTACTGTACAAAGAGCAGCAACACAGGCCTTTGAGGTTTTACTTGATGGAGTGAGAGAGGGATCAGGGGTTGTTTGGGGCTACAGCTGGGGTGTTACAGTCTCTCTTGTTCCTAGTGGATGGGGTTAATGTCTGTGCGGTGGTTAGCCTGCCCATGCACACTGCTGCCCCCTACAGTTGTGGTGGAGGTGGTGATGGTGTTGTGCTGAATGACCTGCTGCTGGGAGCACGCTGGAGCTGGACTGCCTGCCGGACTGCTCTCTGGACCTGAAAAGACAGCAGACACAGCTATGAGGATGCATGTACAGCATGTGTGTGCACGTGTGAAAACAGACACGCTATACAAAGAGGCTTTCAAATATGTGTAAGCTGATAATAAAATAAATAAAATCAAAACAAATACAGAAATAAATCCCATGATGGAAATAACAAATAAACAGCTTTATTTAGGAGATACATTCTAAACACATGCCACAGTAAATTTACATGAAAAGTGTCACCTGTCATCCCTTAATAAGCCATAATGGTTAACACAAAAATGGAAAAGTTCATCGCTAAACTCCATAAACACTCCTGACGACTGTTGGACACATTGAAGGTGACATCTGTACACAACGGAGACTCATCGATGAAGCTCTCTCCCAGCCCAGTCTGGGAGTCAGCTCTTCTCCGCATAAAAGCACTATTCAGCCAAGAGGGATATGAGCCTTATTTTCCTGTGCTGAAGCCACACAGGGAGGTGCCTGATCCTAATTACGTGGAAATGTCACTTGTATTCGTATCAAAGGGTGGGGCTCTGATGTCATAGGTGGCGGAGCTGAGCACGGCGTGAAGTGTAATCAGTGAGATTCTAGGGCATCCATGAGAGTTTGGATGCCAGCGTGCAGCCTGTGACGTCTTCAACGTCAAGTCTCGAACTGCTTTTGAGCGCAGAGCTGCTGTCGGATGGAAAAATACTGGTCTCATGTGGGATGCAGACTACCAACTTTAAATCCAGGCCGGCTACCAGAGTGTGCAACACCCATATGTGAAAGGAAGAATCCTGAAGTGAGCGTGGGAGCCGGATACCAGCACACAGGAGCAAAGAGTCTTGGCAGTCAGATCAGTCTTTAGAGTTTAATCCTTTTTCTCAGGCAGGCCAATAAATGAGCATTTTCCCAATGGTCGTATCTTCTCTGTGGGCAAGGGCACGCAGATGAAGGTGTGTGTTTTGGGTTGAATTACCATGTGACTGTGTGTGCGTCTGTCTGTGTGTCAGTGTATGAGCTACTCACTGAGGTAACCCTGGGAGTCTTTCTGCATAGTGGTGATGGGACAGTCCTTATGTGTGAGGAGAAGCTGCTTAAGTTGGGTCACCTCGCTCTTTAGCATCGTCACTTCATTCTGAAATAGACAGAGAACAATATTAATATCAGCCAGGCATCCCATCGTACAACCAGGGTGCATTATTATTCCTAAATATCAGAAGGGTATCAGGATTAATATAAGTGTACTGATAACAATTTAATGTATCCTCATTAAAACTACCACAACCACTATTTCTGTTGTTTTCAGGGTTGTTTTATTTTTAAGCATGAGGCTTTAAATATTTAACTCATCATTTCTCAATTCCTTAATAATTAAGAATGTTACAAGTTTTGGGATGTGACGTTTTAAGATGAGGATATTTACCAGGCAAAGGGGATGTAACAAAAGATGCTTTTCTGTTGCATTATGGGAAAGGTAGGTCTTTTAAATCTCTGCTGAGTTAATCAGTTCCATTCTTTTTGATGTTCTTTGTGGGCTCACCGCTTTCAATCTGACATCGATAATCCCTCCAAGAAGTTACTTATAGACTCCCAACTTACTGCCATTATCTTTGAATAAAAAACTTTGGGATCTGCAGTGATTTTGCATCGACTTTTAATTGCAGCATGCATGTTCACTTTATACCTGAAGCTGCATGTTGGTCTGAGTGAGCTCCTCTGCTTTCTTCTCTAACGACATCACCCAAACTTTTCTCTTCTGTCTGCATCTCGTTGCCGCAGCTCTGTTCCGCTCCAGGAACTTTCGCCGCCGTTCGTCTGGGTCCTCATCCACGACTCGCCTGCGGCGCCCACCACTCGGGGGCGGTGACTGCATGGTCTGCGTTGGCTGCATCTGCTGGGTTGCAGGTGACATCTGAAAGGCGGAAAGAGATATATAAGCATCATTGATCCCTTGATGAGTGTTATCCAAACCAGACATGTAACTATTCTGACACACCTGAAATAAATCCAGCCACCTGTCTGCTGTCACAGCTCCCCTCAAAACAAGCATCTATACATACAAACCTCCTGCAGTTTTTCCACGTCTGGCAACTTCCCCAAAAACAACATCTGGTTGGGCCACGTGCCCCGTTAGCTGGACCGTGGGCGTCAGCAGCGACATAGAGAGTGACTGGGCTGATTCACCAGCCTGCCCACCTTGTTAAAGAGGTGTCAGGAGGCAGTTTTCCACCGCCCACTTTCACTCAGACTTACACCACCAGACGCAGTCAATAGACCTGTTTCTAAACTTGTACATGCTCTGACAGATCTCAACATATTCTTGGCAAGGTCAAGTGTTTTCAGTCTTCAGATCATTACCATTTTTACGAGAACCATGGAAAATACAAGCTGCTTAAATGACCTCCATGCATACAGAGAGTGTTGTTTTAATAACTTAAGTTAATGACACATTTGGAACATACAGTGAATTGCATTTCTTGACGTCCTTCAACCATAATGCTGGAGACTGCAGAGGGCGTTAAGACAATACAAGGACAAAGCCTCTCCCTTGGGTTGGTTATTTTCTAACTTTCTTTTAGAATTAAATCAAATATATTCATTGCTAAGATGTTCCTAGACTATTAGCCAAGGCTGTCTCTTCATCATCAGTATTTATAAAACTTCTTGTGCACGTTGTGACCACATAATGGCCAGTAAGACAGTCCTGAGCATCTTTTATAATGGCTGCTTTATGGCCTCTTCATGACCCTTTCCTGCCATGGCAGACGTCCAACACTGACCTGAAGCTGACCAGCCGCTAAGGAAAAAATTACCTTTGAGATGGTTGCCAGGAAACTACTTGGCATTTAGGCTGTAGTAAGGGAGAAAGTGTTTGTCCACTTACTTACTGTGAATTTGAAGCATCAGTTCAGCTTTACTTCTGTACTAAACCACTAATAGCTGACTTGAAAACCACTCACAGTGCTGCCCTGTTTTAGTCATGGTACCTATACCGTCTTTTAGGTTTTAATGTGCAGTGTGGTTAATGTGTTATTGAACCTGTGGCTCTGTCTTGGAGCTGTCTAAAAGCTTCGTCTCTCCCAGGAATATTCTTTGCTTACATGTGAAGAAGAGTGCATTGACGGGTGGGGTGAGGTCTGGTGTGGATGCCCAGGATGGAGGTGGGGATTGTGGGAGTTGTGATGGGGGTTGTGTCCCTGCGGGTGATGATGTCCGCCCTGGCCGTGTGCCTGGCTGTGGTGGTGATGGCCGCCGTGGTGCTGGTATGAGTGCAGGTGATGGTGCGGGTGTGAGTGCATGTGATGGTGTGTATCCTGCTCCTCCCGTGATGTCATCATCTCCATCATGTGGCTCATGGAGTGGCCCATGGAGCTCATGTTGCCGTTGGCGATGGTGCCCGGATGGTGTGAAAGTGCAGCCTTCAGCCTCTGAGAAACAGACAGACAGCGCAACATGTTTAAAACAATTTTCTATGAATATTTCAAGACAGAATTTGTAGATGCAAACAGATATCAGTGTGCTGATTATCATGGTTACAGAGCAGCTCATGTGCCGACTGCTGGATGATGAATGGCTCCATAAATCCCGATGTCAGGAGAACAAATCAAAGCCACTTAGCCTGTCCTCTGTCTCTCCTTCAGTCTTGTCATTCTCCTGCTTTACCTTCCTTGATAGCCATCCCACCAGTACATCGTCTTCATATTCTTAATAGCCTCTCTATTTTATGCAGGTGTATGTGTATGTGTGAGCCTCAGACTGCTCCTTTGCTTGAGGCTTGTTGCTTTAACCGTGTGGTCTACTTAGCCCTGACTGAGCCGCAGTCTGTGAGCAGCCTCAGAGGGAGACCAGAGAGAGGCTCTCTCAAGGCGTGCTTGTTTTCCTCGTGTTTACTGAATGCACCTCTCTTTGAGAGTGTTTTTCTTGGCATAGCTTAAAGACAACCACAAAACCTCCAAAGAACTCTATCCAAATATACAAGTGCCAAAACGCGTCCTCAAGGCTTCACCTGTTGTACAGAAAACCCAGACAAAATAAAGAAAATGTCTGAGCCTTTTCAGGACTCATCAAAATGTAACTGCTTTATGAACAACAGACTGAGAGAGTGTTGAGTCTGCTGAACTTTGATTTAAGTACATCTCTTCAACAAGCTGTAATGCGACAAATACTTTAATAAATAATACAGACAAAGGTTAGATCCTACCAAATCTTCTAGCTCTGACTTTAAGGCAACACAACTGAACACAAAGGCTTTCTTTTTTAAGGGTCCGATTATGAATTCCACAAAGTTTTCTATTCTCTTTCCCAGAGCTCTCTTTCCTCTCTCTGCTCCCTTCCCCCTTCTCCCAGCTGCTGTCAGTGAGTCCACGCTGCGTCCAGGGCTCCATATCTTTTAACAACCTTCACATTCATGATTCCCATAGGGAATGGCATCCAGCTGGTCTAGATCACTACGCTACGACATGTTCAGAGCAAAATACTGGCCCCTCCGCTCCTCTCTCACACTGCTCATGAGTGGAAAGCTTTTTACCAGCATGAAGGAGACTCTGTCTAATAAACCATCTCTGACAAAAGCCCTTCTGGTTTGTATTATATTTACAAATTGCTTATATGTATTTGTTTGAGGTTTTATGTGTAGGCTGTACTTGGCTTTCCAACACAGTGCATGTGATAGACGAGTACATGAAACCAGCACTGTGAAATTATGACCTTGCCAAGCCTGTTTTGGCTGAGTATAGTTTCTGCTTGTGAAACCAAAGGATGCCTGACATAGTGAAACAGCACAACATTTTTAGAATTACATGATTTTTTGTTGACTCATTTTATTTTTTTATTTTTTGCACTTTTCCTCCTCGTGTACATCTTCATCTGATCCCACCAAAACTCCTGCTAACCTCCTTCACCACAGCCTCAGCAGCTTCATTATCGAGGGCCACAGGTTTTTGTCTTTTAAACCAGACAGAAAAGAGTTCAAAATAGCACAGAGTCTACACAAACACTTACAGGCCTGCAGCTGTCCATAGCATCACATTCATACTGAGACTAACTGTAGGTAACATTTAACATAGGACTGCAATATATTCCCACTGTCAACATGCAAGTTTCATTCTGTATTTGTTTTTTGATTATCAAACTACATATCTACCTGAACACAATACAAATATTACAGAAATAACACACAGCTATTCAGCATGCTCCTAATACAGAATCATATTAAAACAAGCTTACAGATATGAATCATGTCTCCAGTGTTGACAAGGACATCTTCCGAGTGTCACAGGATGAATTCTGCAGCTGACAGTCCTGACTAAATACCTTTCTTTCAGCTTTCAGCCTGTCACTCAGCACCAGAGAGGTGAGGCCCACCTCTCTTGTAAAAGAGGAAACCAATCAGGGTTTGACAATCTCCTGCCACTTTATTTGCAGAGCCGGCAATCACCTGAATGGACAGGAGCCAGAGGAATCTTTTGGCTGGCTGTCTCCTGTGCTGTGTTTTTAAGGCCCTTGTAAAGATGTCTGTGCGCGGGTTAAGATGCTCATCTGGGGGTGCCTGAGTCGCTGCCAAGCAGGCGCCAGGGGAGAAGGACAGAGAGGGTAAAAGGGAAGTGAAGGGGGACACTAAGAGAGAGAGAGAGGGGGGGGTGACCAGGGGTAAAGGGAGATTAGATGGCTTCTAGTGTCTCCTCCCCACACACCATCAGCCTAAGACAACGAGCACTCATTTGTCAGTGTCGCTGAGAGCTTTCCAGCTGGTGGTGCAGCGCTATCTGTTTATTAATTGAATTAGCCTGCATCCAAAGAGGCCCCGGAGTGTCAGAGTACAGAGGCAGGTCAAAGAGCTGAGGGGCCTCTAAACGCTGTAGCAGTGAGGATTATAAACAGCAGACAGGAAAACAAAAGAAAATGTCCATAGTACATAATAAGAAGACCTTTATCTCACAGGCAGTGAAAACTGCACCAAATTTAACAAACAACATTTGATGCAACAAAGTTAAAAATATAAACTGTTGGACCAAGAGAGCATGTCCGAAGCTCATCCTGCAGATTAAAGAGATTATAGCCCGAAATGTGAAATATGAGAAATAAAGTGAAAAAAGACAACAGACTTGACTAACATTTTTAAATAATCACACCAGATTAAAACGAAGAGATAAAGAAAAAAAAACAACAGTCCACATTGTGTCAAAAGAAAGTCCTTACCCTAAAATAAACGTAGTCCTGAAGCTAGCTCTGCACAAGTGCCTGCTACTGCTCCATCTGAAACAGACTCTCCATCTCAGTTAAACCCTGCTCAGCCAAATCTTAAGTCTTTGTATCCAGAACCACAGTGACGCAACTATGGGACGTTAGCAGAGCGATGATGAGCAGGCTGTGATTCTTAAACACCTTCATCAGCTCCCTAATGACTCTTTAACACATGGTTGTATTTCCCCAGACTGTGCTAAGCACAAGAACTTAACCACTATGTGCACTTTCCTCTAATAACACACATACATATAGATTTCTCCTGCAGCAACATGGCCGCTGCAGAAAACAGTCATTAAATCAGTGCAGGTGTTAGCCTGTGGTTTTGAATGGGATGGCACACTGTCTGCCCGGCTGTTGTTAGAAATAAGACATATTGAAAGGATGATTAGTTCATGACAACATAAAAACATGACAGCTTCTTACAAGATAAAAATATAAACTAGCAGGCTATAAATATGTAATCATGAATTTGACACTACATTTCAAGCATTCTGGAAGTGTACTTTAAAGTAGTAAGCCTATTGATTTTCCATTGTTAAAATACCTCCCTGATTCCGCCCAGAGGGGAGCTATCTCCTCTCAGACCTTTGCCCCCTGACCTCTCCCCTCCCTCTTCTTTCTTTTAAAGCTTCTCTCATTTATGTGGTTTCAGGGACACCAGGTGATCACCCATTAATGATATTTATTAATGGCTGCTTCCTCTCCGACACAAGAGGGTGTCTGAGTGATGTCCCTGTGAGTGCTCTGGGCATATCCTGAGAAGACACTCAGATTTCGCCCCGCCAGATGACTTCATATCTATTAACCCTGGGAGGAGTAAGCAGGAGCAGGGCGCAGGTACAAAAGAGAGAAAGACCACGCCCGCCACAGGATGGGTAAATCAAACCTGTTGAGGTCAGGGTGAGCACTTTTATTCCCCTTAAAAGCACAGCGGTGTACTGTCAGGGGACCTGTGGCCCTCTGGCGCCTTACAGCAGGTTAGAACAATCTTAGCAGACTGTGGAGTCAGAATTTAAGTGCTAAAAGATCACAAATTAAAAGGAGATCTTCTGTGTCGCGTAAAATAATTGACAGAAATGCAATTAAGCTTCAGTCTGAGTTTGTCAGCCTTTGTGTTAATACCATTAATTTACTAGAACAGTTATCATGTATAACGCACAGTATTTGTACCGTAATTACTTTTAAACTCACACTTGTTTTTAACTTGACACACCTGTCCGTGTGTGTGTGTTTCACTCTGTGTCCATCTGTATTATGTGTGTTGTAGTCGACTCAATTCAGTGTTGTTTTAGAACAGTGTGTTTTTATATACAGTATTAGACCTGTCATGGGATTGCAGATTTGAATTCGCCTTAAGCTTACCTTTTTTATGTTCTTGTTTTTGAGTTTGGCCATTTTGACTTTCATTTTGACATGACAGCTAAAAAGAGACAGAACAAAGAGTATAGATGGATTGGGGATGACATGCAGCTAGTGTCTGAGGGTAGGAGTCAAACCCACAGCGAGGACTAAAACCTCTGTTCAGAGATTAACCCATGCCACTTTAGGCTGACATTTATGTTTGATATTGTAAAAAGTATCTTAGCAAATTAAATAATATACATAGACCCCCTCAATCACACACTGAGCCCTACATGGGTTCACCATCTTTAGTTGAAAGCAGGAGTTTGGCTCTGCTGCGTTGCCAAGCACTCAGAGGATCTAATTCCATCCTCTCAATCTCCACCAACACCACCACCACCTACCAGTGCCTGTCTGCAAAACCCACTCTCTGTGCCCTAAAACTCCACACCCCCATTAGTCCAATTTTATTAGATTTCCCTCTCGCCCAGAGAGGCAGTAACATCCCCCCTTCTCTCTCTCTCTTTCACACACACCTCTCCCTTTTTCTCCACCCCTTTGCCCTCTGCTTGCCAAGAGCCGGGGACTGTTAAACTGATTTCCTCAGGGAACGCCGAGGCAGACAGTCTGATGGGAGCTCTGGGCTGTAATGTCGCCCCCTCTCTCCTCTCTCTTGAGTTCTGGGCCAAGGCGATCAGAGCCGAGCAGAACAGAGCCTCCCTGTGGCTCCAGACACAGACATGAGATGCACATAGACCGTCTGTGCTGCCAGGACCCGACACTCTGGTGGTGCTTTGGAGAAACTTTGGTGGTGTGGGTGCAGTGAGACACACACCCACAG